GATGTGCGAAATTCCAACAGCCATGGATGCATTTGTAAGACCAACTCTGGCAAGTTTAACGTTTGAGTCAGCTGCTGGATATGTTGATTCCATTCGTGCAGTACCTCCTGCCAAGGTAACGACCAATCAAGTCCCGAAGGCGGTCCAACCCTGCTTCTAAGCCATCGTCGCCATTCTGATGCTGCCGTATTTTGCGATGCCGGGCACAAAAACCTGCTTACAGCTTCGAAATATTTTCCCGAAGGGCCAATGGGACGTGCTTGGCACATAAAATCCACTGGAGCAATGTGTTGCGAACGAACATGTCTGTGTTCGCAGAAAAATATCGCCGGGTGCGTGTGCTGTGGAGGTTGGATTAATTTGGATCACCACGTGTCCGGAACGCAGCAAAGTTAGAGTCAGCGGCGCAATATTGCGAAGCGGGACAGCCACCATGCAGGCGGAAATGGCGGGCGCAAGTAAGAAAACGTAATCATTCGCCATTTTTGTGGTGCAGCATGAAGCGACCTGTTCCCGGACGGCGAGGCAATGTTTGCTTTCTTACCACCCAATATCGTTGACTTCGGAAGAGGCGACGGGGCCCTTCCACGACGCTTTCTTCGCGCGTTACCTCTAGGGCAAGCGTTCTGCAGCGTATCCCCAGGCAGGGTGGCTACTGTTGCAGTTCTGCGCCGGCCCACGCGCCAATTACTTTTTGCGCATCCTCCTGGCATCTCGCACTTAATTACTGGATGGTTCACGTAAGGCGTCTCGCGCAGGCAAAGGGCATCTCATCAGGGCGTCACACTTCCGTTTCTTGTATGGAACAGTTGTCTTCATGACACGTGGGCCTCTCGCCAGGGCGTCCCTTTGCAGTTTTCTGTTCTGGGACATTCCATAGTTATGTTTTGGGGTCTCGCGTCGGTGTCAGAAGGCAGTTGTCCAGCTACCGCGTTAAGGTCTACAGTTCTGAAGTTGAACCCCACGCCCCTTAAATTCCGCGCAAGGCTTGCGGGGTTTTGGTTCAGTGGACTTTTACAAACCATGATAGCGGATGCAAAAGGAACGAGAAAAAAATGTAAACCGTTTGCGTCGCACTGTTTGGTCGGGAACGGAAACACACATCCCTTTTTTTTCTCCACGCACCTTTTTGCGACAGTTACCGCGGTCCCAGTGCATGAAAGCGGCATCCTACGCGGGCTAGGTTGCCGGCAGCCGGCTAGCGGACGGCGAGGAGCTGTCCCGGACCTCAGCGAGGATCTCGTGTAAGTCGGGCGCAGCTCCCTCATCGCAGATGTCGCCTCCCGGCGGTAGCTCAAGGAGGGACGCTGCGTATGCACGCATGGCCGCGACGGCGAGGAGGCCGGACCAGCGCTGCACCCACCCTGCGCTTGCGGCGGCCCGGAGTGGGGGTGGGAGACTCGCCGCGCGGTGACGCGCAAGGTGGCGGAGGAAGGCGGCGGCTTCAGCACCAAAGCGCCCTCCTACCTCGACCCCGACGACGACGAGCCGCGCACGCCGCGCGCTCGCGAGCTCGGGGACGTTTGGCGCCGCTTTCATCCCTTTGTGTTTCGCTATGTTGCGCAAGTAGTCTGGCAAGGCATCACATTGGGGTTTGAGGATGCATTGTCGTCCGAAATCCTTTGGAATCGGTACTCTGCGCTAGGTCTCGCGTGCATTCTAGTTGTTTGTTGCCATGTTTCAAAAGTAGGCCCCCAAGGGCGTCTCCCTGGGGATTAGCTTTCTGTGGTTCTATTTGGGGTGAGTCGTTTTTTGCCCGCTTAGGGTGGACACCCAGTAGCAGGCTCGGGGCTTGGTCGCTGCCGCGTGACCTGCATTCCAACGCGCCCGAACACGGGCGACTGATGCGCAGCATCCCCACCGCGCCGGACCTGCATGCTGCGTGGTTGCTGTTGCACTCCTGCGCCGTACCGCGGGCGAAGTACACGAGACAGCTGCTCCGTGACCTCGTGCGGGTTCGAGCTCAGCGAGCCCTGCCAGCCGCCGCGTGGTCAGCATGGGTTCGCAGGTGGTGGGCGATGCTTCCCGTCTGTGTGCAACAGGCCGTGGCGAGCACCGCCCGGTGTCCTGATGTGTTATTCCGCTGCTGATGTGTATTTCCGTTAGCGTCCAGAATCGAGTGATGTGTAATTCCTCGTGACCTGATGGGAGAGAAGCCCGCCACTAGCGCAGCGTGCCCCCAGCGCCCACCGTCCAATATGCTGCCGACCATGATGCGGCATGGCGGCACGTTTCACCGCATTCCTGGACCAGCTTGATCGGCCGCTAGTTCTCGCTGAACTTTTGGTGCGTTTCAGCTTGCCCGGCGGCACCCGCTCGTATCCGACAACCTTATCGACAAGTTTGGCGATTGCCTGCGCGGTTGGCAGCGTCACGCTGCCAGTGCCTGCGATCAGCGCGCCTTCCGTGATGCATTTCGCCACCCACCCGGACGCTGCCCGTGCCCTTACACCGTCGGCCGGCGCACGAAGGTGGCACCATCCCCAGTGCTGGTAAACATCTGTGGCGGTTTGGTGTCGCGAGGCCGTCGGACCCAGTGGTTGGCGCGCTCTCCTTGGCGTCGACCCTGCGGATCGCCGCCGCCTGGACTTACGGGCCACACCACTCGGCGAGGTGTTATGCTGCGACATCGCACTCGTGTCCCCCGTGACACGAGAAGGGAGGCCCCAGCTTTCGGCTGCCTTGCGTGACGGAGTCGTCGCCGTCACTGAGCAGCACAGGCGTGCCAATTCGGTTGCTGAGTTTCTGGGCAGTGCTGCGAAAGGGAAGGGGCGGGGGAAAAGGTGAGATTCTTCAGGAACGCAACTATTTTGTTTGTTTTCGTTGCGCCCCGAGCGATCCCGCCGCTGAGTTTTTCAGGGCCGGAGCACTCGTCCATGGATTCCATAAAAAAAAGAACGGTTCCAGGCAATTCCTGAAGGTTCGACAGCTGTTGTTGGGGCGCAGGGGTTGGCATCCCGGAAATTCCCAGAAGGCGGGTCGCATGTTTTCGCTTTTTGTGAAAGCATAGGGACCCTACAATCCGAAACCCTAGAATAATGGCAGACCGGAGTTGCGGAGCACAGGCACGACAACCCAAGCAAATCGGGTCGAACAACTTCAATGTACAAAGACAACCAACACTTCCCACGCAACCCGCCCAAGGCCTTCTGCCTCGATGATGCCCGCATTGGAGCCTCGTTTATGCCCGCGCCTGCTTCAGACTCAACTTCGACAGCCTGGATGCCTGGACGGCCTGAGCACATAAACGACCTAGTGGGACAGCCCAGACCTTTTTCTTGCCAGAAGATCCAATGCCAATTGCACCTTTGGTTCAAACTACAAACCCACTTATTGTAATGATTCGGGCAATTCCGCTCATGACTTTGACTAGTTTTGCTGCGTCAGCCTTCCTTGATTGCGTGATTTAGCGATGAGCGATTGCGAGAGGGACTAAACATTGATGAACGTTAGTGTTTTTTCTTGTGCCTGCTCAACGAGCTCGTCCCCCTCTGTTCCGTGCCGTCAAATCATGTCCGTTTTTCATGCCCCCCGTCTGCCAGGTGTGAAGGTAAAAGACCATAACTTATAATACCAAAAAACACAAGAGCAATTCTTTTCTCGGCTTTATTTTCGTGTTTTTTCGTTCACTCACGACATTACTCACAGAAGAAGCGATTACTGAGAGAGAGAGAGAGAGAGGCAAACCTCCCACGATATGTTTCTGAAGCATCCGGCCCGGAAAGCTCTGTTTCTCTGCAGCTGGATGCGGCATTGGCCTTGGTTACAAAGCCAAGAAGCTGCATGGGTTTAGGGCGGAAGGGGGGGGGGCGCGGTGTTGCTTTACAATTCTTGACGGGTGGGTGCGAGCGGTGCAAACCTGGTCTTCCACGAGACCCTCAGGTATAATGTCATTAAGTTCAGCTTGCTCGCGTGAACCCGATTCCTGCCCGTAACCGCCGGCGGATGGACCTCGTGCGGGGCTTCCTCGTCGTATGGCGCTGTGTTACGACGCGACATTCGATGACACCCGTCTCGTCGCTGGCGCGAGATGTTGCCCCGCCGACCGTGGGGGTCGCGCAAGAGAATCAAGCTCTGCTCGGCTGCCAGCGCGGGGGCGTCGTGGAACGCTTGAGCTCCTTGCCGATGCTCGCCGGCAGGCCCGGATTCGTCCCATTGGGCTGTACCGTGCTGTGCTCAACGGCGCCTGACAGTGGAGCAGGTGCAAAGAAATTGAAATCAATAATTAAAATCATGCCAGCAGTGGAGAAGGCAGGAGATCGGGTGCCAATTCATGGGGTGGGCCGCCCTACCCGACCCCCTGAATGACCCCCGCAGAACTACAGACACCCCATGACACCCCATGACACCCCCGCAGAACCCGACGAGCCCCGCATAGCCACCCAGAACCTAATAGGGAAGACTACAATTGCCTTGTGGAAAGTTCGCAGAACCGCCCGCTGCCTCGCAGAAGCGCGGCTGCCCCGCAAAGGATATTCAGAGGGCGCATAGACAGCCCACCCCATAAATTGGCGCCCCAGGAGAAGAAGATAGCGAAGCCATCCAGACCGAACACTGCCGATAGTCTGCCGATAGTCTATCTCGAATGCGTGATCTACGCACGTGATTCCATCACTTCGAAAGCCAACTGTCATGCGAATCTGGAAATGCCCCAAAGCTTCCCTATTGTACGTCCTCCGCTCTGTTCAATCTCATTCGTGGCACGGGCCTGGGTAGTTCTTGCCCCGGCCCCGGCAATAATGGTGACGCTCCGCAAGTTTGGAGACAGTCCGAACGCATGAAACTGCCCCATAGTCGCCGGAGAGCCACGTAAAGTCAGCTCATCAAGCATAGCGGCATCTGCACAGGTTTTGCTTGCACACCAAGAGCACCCCACCAGTGGCGCAATTCTTTACATGCCTCATTTGAGCAGCGATCACCTACATGCCCTCAACGAAGGCATGCTAGCATAGCTACGAGTGCGTATGTTTGTTCTGGTGGGTAATCATGTTGCAACCGCCATGCAGCTGGCGGCCAATCCACGCGGATGGGGTGATGCCGCAGGTGGTGTGAGTTTTGCATGACAGCAGTTGCCCACAAAGTGTTTTGCAGGCGTGCCAATGCAAGTCCAACGGAGTGGGTCGCATGGACAGTGGTGAGGTGGGCGCATCGGTATGTACCTGAAAGGTTCCAACTCATAGTGTCAGAGTGACCAGGCTTGGACGGCACAGCTGCCAGCCCCTCGCTGTGTTCAACTTGACCCCAGTGTGCCGAGATCTTGGAGGAATTGTCAACAAGTAGTCATGTTCATAGACTGAAAGTTGAGGACACAACCTTGGCATTTCAATATGCCGGGCTGTTTGGAGGCGAGGCGTGCTAAAACCATGACATGAGTGTAGCAACATGTCGGTCGACGCGACGTGCTGGCATTTTTGCACCGTGGACAGGCACCAGACATGGATGCTTGCCGGCTTGATGGCAGGTCTTGGCCCTGTTTGGCCTCGTGGCGTTCAGTTAATGTAGGCGTATTTGGCACCTAGGTTCTGCAAAAACGGGGATGCTTCGTGGACCCAGTGCCCACGTTTTTGCCTCGGGCCGACATTGAAACACAATGCCCGTAGCCGGCAGTTGTGCCAGCAGGTGATTCCAGCCGCTTTGCCGGATGGCACGGGCATTTAAAATGCCGTGCTAACAGTCTTTGCCTCAGGGATTGCGGGCACAAAGGCGCTGGCAGTGAAGCAGCGTCGTGCTAGGCAGCGGATGCAGCAAGTGTTCTCCGCAAACAAACGGTTGGGAAGAAGGCATGGACATTTGCCGGTACATGCTTTCGCAGAATGGAAGCCGTTGCCTTCCGTGATTGGGTTGACTCTGTTGACTGAGCCAGGCGTGGGGAATGTTTACGCAAACCAGCGTTCGGCGCAACATTCAGCAGCACTCCGACTCAAGGCAAGTTTTGCTTGGTGCGTTTAGAAAAAAGAGATTTGCTTGTTCTGCACATGTGGACATCAGAGCAGTGGAATTGGAGTTACCATCCCTCCCGAATTCGGGTCAACGTTTTGCAATGTTGCACTAACCACCGTGCAGGCGCTGGAGCTCGAACATGAAGAGTTGCGGCGGCAGCTACAGCAGCAAGCGGGCAGCAAACAGAGCATCGGTACCGAAGCGACATGTTTTGCAGAAAGCGACGGCAGCCGCAGCATCTGAGGTTGCCGATGCCACAGACGCGCAACGACCGGGCCCAGCCGAACACTTGCCAGGCAGTGGGTGGCTGGACTTGCGTGTCGATTATTATTATTATTACTATTATCATTATTAGCATTATTATTATTATTATTATTATCATTATTATCATTATTATCACTATTATCACTATTATTACTATTCGTATTAGTATTATTATTATTACTATTAGTATTAGTATTATTATTATTGGTATTATGTGTCCGCGTATGTATGTGCGTGTGCTTGCTGGTTCAACTTCCAGGATGGCCACAGTTGCAGTAGTCGTTGCTCTGGGCCAACGAAAGCACGATCGCGAAGTGTCCCTGACCCAGTGCTTCTTGGTTTAGGGTTTAGGGTTTAGGGTTTAGGGTTTGCGGCGAGAGTTGGGGCTGCCGGTGTGAAGTCGATGGAGGCGTGCGGGGCACAATCGCACAATGTAGACCGGACTCGGACTGACCTGACGCACCGTGATGGCCAGGCTCAATCTTTGTGTCCGTCGGCTCGCCTCACATGTAGCTGTTTGCAGACACGTTAAATTGACTTCTGGACAGGGTCGTCAGCGTTCTGGTCGCGAAGGATTGCTTGAAAGAGGATGTGAATCCAACGGTCTACAGTCGTTCCTCGGATTCATGGGCGGACAAATCGGACATGTTAGCCTTCGAGCTTCATGTGCCCGTTCAGTTTTTGAGGCAGACCAGTTCTACACAGAGATCAAAGGCCATGGGCGCAAGAAGTGTCTTGAGATGCAAGCGCAGGAGAGCATCGGAGTGCCAGGTCAACCCCGCGAAGTTCGTCACGAAGAGTCAAGGCAAAGAGCGGAGGCCGACACGGTTTAGGGTTTAGGCTTCCTGCTGCAAAAGAGTTTAGGGTTTATAAGTCCTGATGCAAAGAAAGGGTTTAGGGTCTAGGGTACAGGGTTAAGGGTCCAGCACTTTGGACGATTTGCTACAAGGACGCAAAGCTCCGAGCTGGGCGGACACAACGGTCGACTCGTGAACGGATTTATGGACAAGCACGCCCATCAGCATATGCCCAACGACCAGAGCCATCTGCACAACTTGGGAACTGTTGGTGGCTGGGGGCACGATGGATTCGATCCGGAGTACGGAGGGTATCAGGACCCTGGGGCCACGGTAGCGTTGCTAGCCTCCTTTCGTCCTCCAGAAAAGCCTGAGGACACCCAATCAGCGCAGCACCAAGAGCTGCCGAGAACTCGAACAGATGGCTTGGCGCCAGATCTGCGGCAGCGGCTGGTCTGAATGAGCCCATGGCATCCACAAGCTCAAGGCAGCCACAAACCTTCCGCTTTGCCAGGATGCCGCGAGCTGTTTGTCCGACACCTTATGCACTAGGCCGTTGGGCTTCGAAGCAACAACCCTTGTGAAGATTAGCAGGGTTTTGTTGTTTTCGAGGCTCTGTTTGTGGCCGTGGAGAGCGTGAGCTGCCGGGCTGGAGGAGCATCCAGGACCCTGAGGTGACCCTCGTTCTTTCGTTGCCTTAGGAGTGAGGTCTCTCACCATGTCTCTGCGTTGCCGGTGCTGTCAGGACAGCAATGAGATCCTGGGAAATTGTGCAGAGATCCTCAATTCGACGTGCAAGTACATCTTTGACGTGCTTTCAGGCAGCAGCCCAGTCCAGGCATGTGAGGCGTCCTGCCAGAGCATCAGCCCAAGCCAGGCACAGAGGGGTGGAGCGGATCCCTTAAGATCCTCTCGGCTGCTGATGGCTGTGCTGACGACATGCTGCAAGAAGCGCAGGTGGGATAGTGGGACAGGCCAGAAATAGAGTTTGTCATTGTTTTACTTGTCTGTCTTGTCTGCTAGGCTAGGTATGTGCCTACAAGCGTGCTTGCCTCATTTTGCATGTGGGTCATGTGGGTGTGCATGACCGTGTATGACACAATCTAGCCAGTACATCTGCCGACACCAAAACGAGTTGCCGAGGTCATGTTGGCACATGCCTTCGCTTCGTCCGCGGGGGCTTGGTCGAACTACAGGACTAAGGCCTGCAAAGTGTTTTGTTCATGTGCTTGCTTGCGCATTTGTCTTGGCCAGATTCGAGTTTATGGTGGAGATGTGCGAAATCCGGTAATGCCATACTGGCAGCTGGCGCCTCAAGCAATCTTGCTACAACAAAAATGTTTAGAGTTCGGAAACAGGGATATCGTGTGCCCTGCACCGCCCGGATCCCCAAGAACGTGTGCGGACCGAGAAAACAGCGGCTGCTCTGCAGTGTGAGCAAGACACTCGACATCAGGCCCCAGGCGTTGCCTTGGCAGCTACCGATGTATCTGGATCACCGCTTCATATTTCTCGACAACACACAGGAGACTTTTCTTGTCTTCGGATAACGCGCTTCATTGCACGTGTTGGATTTCTTAGGCCTTGTGCTTCGTTATGGCAGGACTTCGCCTCGCAGCTTTACAGCCATGGCCAATGTGAGGCAAGATCTACCTCGACTTCCAATCATCTGCACAGACCTGCCAGATGTGTGCAGGTCGGGCAACTTTTCGACGTGGTGCTGCTGCGACAGGGCCTTTGTTTCTGCGACGACCCATCGAAGACGTCGACCGCCTGGCCGCGGCTCGGTGTGATTGCATGTAGAGCCCGAACACGCACGGCCCAGCTCGCCTGGCTTGATGTCCCCGTGTTTGCATGGTAGCCGAGGCTGGAAGTGAGTCTTTCTTGCACCTCTTGTGAAAGCTGCCGGGCCTCCCTGAGCCCCGACCAACTTCCAGTTCAGGCAGCAGCATGTTGTTTGGTTGTTTTTTCGATCTCCAGTCTGCTAGTGGCTGCTCGTGCAGCTGTTTCTCAAAGGCTGATGCTTTTAGCTGCTGCTCAGAAATGGTGTCTCAACATCAAAGTTTGCAGTCTGTCTGCTAGGATGCTGCTACCATCCGTGTCACAGCCATTTGCGGTGCGGAGCAGAGCATGCGTTTTCCTGGAGACGGACGGGCTACAGGGCGTTGTGGTCTGAGATACCATGCTTTCCAAGGGGTGTACCGGCTGGAGCAGCATCCCTAGCAAGTCGAATGCATGCTGATGATAGCAACGAAAGCAACAAAGAGCCGAGGCCCTTCCTCTGCGAGAATCGGCCCGCGTATCGCTTGGGACGCTGTGTGCTGCGATGGATGGGCTCTCAGCTGTCAAACGGCCCTGCTGCAAGCACATATATACTCCCTGACATACACCAGTGCTACACAACCCAAATTTGGGCATTTACCAAAATAGGGGTGCCCATTTAATACCCCAAATAGAATAGAGTCCCCTTAACAGGACCCCCCAAATCGGGCATCCCCCTCTATTGTCGGAAACCCCCAACTGGTGCCACCCTAAACCCTAAACCCTAAACCAATGGTGAGAAAACAAAAGGTGCCCGGATCGATTAGAGTGGGCTGTCTTGGACGATGCGGATGGCGGAGCTTGGGCATTCGCTCGGGGAGTCGCCCCGGCAGAGACTTGGGGGGGTTTAGGGTTTAGGGTTTAGGGTTTAGGGTTTAGGGTTTAGGGTTTAGGGTTTAGGGTTTTCCGACATTCGGGGTCCTTATTCTAAGGGGATCCTACTATGTGGGGGTCTAGATTGATTAGGGTTTAGGGTTTAGGGTCCGAAATTCGGGGTCCTTATTCTAAGGGGATCCTACTACTTGGGGGTCTAGATTGATTCGGGGTCCCCTATTTTTCGTTTCCACCCACCTGAGAATTCCATGAGGAGCTGCTAAGTGGGTCTCGGGAACCTTCGAGGGTAAAGGGTTTAGGGCGCTGATGCCCGTGACATCTTAAGCCTTAAACCCTAAACCCTAAACCCTAAACCTGTGTGTGTGTGTGACAGGATCTTGGCCACCCGATCTTGTCACGTGGGCCCTGGACTGTTTGGGATGGTCACAGCCGGAGCCCGGGCCAATCGGAGATTCCGTTGCGGTTTTCTTTGCCAGCATGCTCCTTGAGTGTTCGTCGTGCTTGCTCAGACCATGTGGCAGACGCAAGCTTCGCTTGCAATTTGGTTCAACCAGCTGCCTCGCCCCCGTGAGCCGCTGAGTTTCAGTCCAAGCCTTCTTTGACCGTGCAGATGTGAGCCTTTGCTGCCAGGTGGCACCTCTTGCCCACACAGCAGCTTGCCTAGTACAGTGACGTTGTCTTGCACGTTATGTCACAAGCGCCTTGGCACCAGCACGACCCGCAACTGTCCGCCACCTCAGGCTCAGTGGTACTAGCCTGCGTAGAAAAGCTGTGCGTAGACAGGCCATGTCCAGACAATTTCTGACCGATGCCTGTGTCCATCACAAGCCTTGCCTGGCTTCTGCTGGCGCAAGCCGACCCCTTGTGCCCTGGGGAGTTACATGTACATGATATAGAAAAACACGTACATATGTATATGTACAGATGTGTTATATGGTTGCTTATGTATATCTGCATGTATGCACGCATGAAAAATGATTTTATGTACTTATGAACTTATGTGTTTATGTGTTTATGTACTTATGTATTTATGCATGTATGTATGTATGTATGTATGTATTTATTTAGGTATTTATGTATTTATGTATGTATTTATGTATTTATGTATTTATGTATTTATGTATTTATGTATTTATGTATTTATGTATTTATGCTTACTGAAGCAGCCCGGCAGCAAAATGTATGTATATATATATATATATATAAATTAAAAATATATATATATATATATATATATTTTTTTTGGAGTGCTCCTTCTGCAGTTTTGCTAGTCGGCATCTCACGGCTTGTCATGCTTGCTGCAGGTATGATTTGCCATACTTTTACAACTGGGACTGTATCGAAGAAAAAGTGCCTTGGGATTGGGATGAGTTACACACGCAGATCTTGGAAGGTTTCCAAGGAGGGCGGCCTGTGTATGCTTGCAGTGCTGTAGAACATCATCTGCGTTATTTGTTTGGATTGTGGAGATAAAGTATAGATCGTTTCAGGACCTGGTGGCCCAGACTTTTTCCTACCTGGTGAGATCTTGGTTGTTTTCCAGGCAAATCGGAAAGCATCTCTCCAAGCATGCCCGCTTGGGACGCTGTACTTGTCCGCTGTCTATGCCTATGCCCTCATGGTGCAAGGGGCTGCCAGCGATATTCAGATAACACACAGTGACGAGTTGTCTGCCATGTTGCGGGCTTTCCCGGTCCTGCTCGTCGCCGGATCACGCTGGCCGGTCTATGAAGCACTGCAGCACTTCAGCACTTTTCATGCGCCAACTTCCCAGAGGTCTGCAGAGACACTCTGCCAAAAGGAGGGACCTGACACAGGGATAGACTGGGGCCAACTGCTGGCACATGCCATCCAGTTCAGTAGGCAGGGAATGCTCGGGTTGGAGCCAGGACAGGGCTCTCCAGAGCATACTTTGGCTCTGAAGACGGTGATGGATGCCTTGACTGCAGAACCTGGTCGCATCTCTGATGCTGCGCAGGACGAATGTCCCCTGGGGTTTCTCTTCCTCTGCGTTGTTCAAATGACTGCTGCGGCGATGAGGCTGACCGGCAGAGCCCAAATCTGGGCGGAGTCGGTCGACAAACTTCTTGCAAGCATGCCTTATTTCATGGTGTCTGGGTCCCAGTGGCCAATTTATCACCTGTTGGGCATGCTATCTGCTATGTTCCAACGGCCTGAATACAGCCGCGCGCTGGGCAGTCAGTTCCACCACGAAGTGCACAGATGGGAAGGCACACACCCCATGTCCAAACGGTTTCGTTCCTTCGGTGACCTTCGTCTGCTGCCGGAAGAGCTGATGCCTTTTGGTTTTGATCATGCCGCCTTTGCACAGGTTGAGGCGCTTTCCACTGCTAGTCCCGCAGACTGGCTGATCGGCATGACGGAATGGAGCCGGGGCGGAAAGCTTCGGCCGATCTTCAGCAAAGCCATCGAAGCCATCATGCAGGTTTTCCGCGCCTCGCAGCAGAAACAGCTCAAGGAGTGCGGCTATTCCGGCATTTCTTCTGCTGGCTGTGCTGCAAGAGGTTGTACATGGGATGCGTCTGGTGCCCCAGCTTGCCAGCTGAAGCATCCAAAGCGAAAGGTTCTCCTCACAACCTTCATGTGGGGGCAGCGGTGGTCACGACTCATTCCATCCTTTGTGGCGTGGATGCACAAGTTGCGTTTGCCGACGATAGTGATAGCCATGGGACAGACATGCCGGAAAGCTTGTGAAACGGCAGCCGAAGCCAATGGCGGATGGGGCAGCAGCTTGGTTGGCTGCTGGGATCCTTTCTCGCAGCTTGTCAGAGGTCCAAGGCGTTTCTCAGGCCTTTGGAAGTCAACCTTTGCCTTGGCATGGACCTAATCTAGAGAACCTCCACTCCCGCCCAACACGCTTTGATATGCTTGCTTGCTTAGGCCCATAGGGTCCTGTGCACGAAACTCATTTAGTCCCAAAATGGAACAAAGGACCAGTGAAGTGCAGGAGTCGAACCAGGATCTTGGCTCAATACTTCAGCGGCACACCATGGTGCAGTTGCTTCTTCACCTGGGCATCGATGTGAATCTTGGCTGTGCTGTGATGCGGATGCTGAATCTCGGTCTACGTAGTGGTATGCATGCAGTGTTGCGCCTGTTTCTACTGCATTGAGGGTGGCTTTCGACTTTGACACCTTTTTATTTGAAGATCCACGTCACCATCTGGAAGCATTGGCAGAAGCCAGTCAGAGCGATGTTTTGGTAGCACGGCATTTAGATGCAGATTGCTTGAATATGGGTCCACCCCTCAGCACAATATGCAACTCGTGCCTACGATAGGCCTTAATTCGGCTCAACCGCTTGCCTCACAAGGTTTCCTGTACATCCGTTCGTCTGGCAAAGCTGCGGAGTGGTACACGAGGCACAGCTTGTCATGTCACAAGTGGCCCCCATAAACGCTAGCCGCTAGGAAGTGGCTTCTTTGCAAGGTATTTCTCCTGGTTGCATCTGCACCCCTATGAGAGGGAGCAGCGTGGCTTGAATGCGCTTCTCAACTTCACCCAGCAAACCGCACGGCACCCAGTGGGCACCAAGACACCAAATCAAAGAACATCCACCATCCCAGAGAGCACTTGCATGAGCCACGGATACTGTAGGATGTGTCTCGCGGTCGAAATTTCTATAGGTGTCTTTTCCACCGGAAGTGCCCGGCCTGGTGTCTGCAGCACTGGACGACTCAAATGAGTTTGTCAGCAGTCGTGGTGGATGGCTCGGCGATTGGAACAAGTTGAAATTCTTTCACTGGGTGAACCCGGCTGTGACACGCTCGAGCCTTGACTGTTCAGTGGCTTCCAGTGCGGCACGGGGTAGAAGATTTGCATCACGTTGACCAGACCTCAGCCGAACAGGAATTGGCTTGACGTCAAGCTTGCAGATATCGCTGCGCTGTATACAGTTGCGCTTCATCGTGAGACTGACCTGGCTTCCCACGCTATGTCTTTGGGCCGAATGCTTGCGGGGGCAGCTGACGGGCCTGGAGCAAGAATGATGCCTGGTTCTCGGTTCAGTTGCTAGGTGTACATGATGTTTGGAATGTGAGTTTTGTCTGAGTTAGTTCAACGTGCTCGTGCGCGTTGCTGCAGGCACGCAGTTCTTAGCGACTTTATCGTTGCAGATCTGCCAGCGAGAACAACCTGCTGGTGAGTGCACGACATGCATCTGACCCGCACCTGTCCTCCGACAGGATGACGAACATGCAGTATCATGCAGTCTGGCGCCAGCTCACCAGATTTGCTTTGTCATGGGGAAGTTCCTGCCTGTCGGCTTGGGTGCTGAGCGCCCTAGTGGCCAAAACATGGCTGCCAGAAGCATCAGCTGTCCAATCAAAGATCCAAGCGGAGCCGGCTGCTTCATTGCCGCCAGCGCTTATTGGACAGCTTGCCCACCCAAGCCGAGATGAGCGTGCAAGGATGTTGCAGCGATGGAAGAAAAGATGGCCCGAGATGTGGTCTGCCATGGTTTGCCAGTCCGTAAGCATCAGTGCTGCGCGATGGTGCACCGAGTCTGCGCACCGCCGAGGCGAATGGTATGTGCGGGTGTGACGGGAGATGTCGAAAGCATCATCCGGTTCTTGCACCGAATCGTTCCGAACTTATTGCGCACGCCGCGATGTTTCAAGGTGCGCTAAGCATCTGTCATTTGAGCGTTCTTCTAGGCAGCAATCCTGGATACCTCGAGACCCGATTCCTTTGGATTGCTCCACGGTGCCTGGACAAACGGGACGCAGGTCAGCGGCTCTAAAAGAAAAATGGGCAGCCCCCAGGTGCTCAAGAGAGGCCTAAGCAGCCCCTAGTCCCCCCCCCAACCCTAAACCCTAAACCCGAATGTTGACCCCCCCCCAAAGCCAACTCGGAGGTGGAAGTTGAGCAGCTGCACCGGCAGCTCATGGAAGCTGCACAGGTCTACAATGTCATGGCCCTGACTTCTCGGTCTGAGATGTGCCAAGGGAAGCGGACCAGTTCTTGTTTTTACTTCGGTCAGCTGAGTGTAAGTCATCGGCAGATTGTCGTGGCGCACAAAGGCCTTGCCAATACAGGGATTGCACTGATGACCAAGGACCGTCGGAGGGCAGCAGGGGGCTTGCCTCTCCATGCCGCAGTGGCCTTATGTCAGATGTTCCTTCTTCGCGATGCCGTCACTGGTGCAAGTTTGTGTTGCTGCAGGCCTGTGTGCTTTGGCGAACTGCGGCGACGCAGTACTGGCTGCAGTGCGCACAAGCCCAAGACCAGCCGCCAGTGTGCAGCAACCGCAACAATGACAGCATATGACAGCATCGAGGATGGCATTGTACTCTTCCAACCTGGCAGTGCTGCAGACCCATACAGGGCCTATGGCTGGAAGCCCAGCGATGCCAAGCCTGATGCACAGTGCCAGACTCTCGTGTATTTCGGCTCTCAGGCGCAGCTCCCATCCTCTGATGCCACAGCAAAAGCCACATTCTCCTGACCTGTTTGTGATTGTGGCATGGGCCGTTAACATTGAAAGAGAGCAGCCATGGACCAGCAAATGCAGGGAATGCAGTTTTCATTAGGGGCCATTGTACCGGCGGGCTGTGGCATAATTGATCTCCGCAACTTCTTTGACAGCTTCTTGGCCTCTTTGTGCTTGCAGGGCAGGCATAGTCTGCAAATTGCGACTACTGCGAAGAGAGGTTTTCATGGGAGCTTTGCCCCTGTGTGCTGCACATGCCCACTTCGTTGCTTCCACATGACAGGGCAAAGTCTTCCGTGTCTCCCTTGCCATGTGTCGAAATTCAAATCGAGCTCGTTTACTACGGACTGCCACGCTGCAGAAATGCAGGTAGCAAAACAGTGCGAAAGAAGAAGCCGTGTCATCAGTCAGCCGAGACCCGCGGCGATTCTAGAGGCCCTGGAGTGTAGGCAGCAGGCAAAAGGCTTGATTGGTGATCCTGCGGAACCGCGTGACTCCCGTCTGTTGTGATGTGCATCCGGCATGGTTCTGCATCTTGGCTTGTCGTGGCAAGGGCTGGAGGCGATAGTTTTTCTTGTTTTCCAGATGCCTCGGAACAATGCTCGTCTACATATGACATGGCATCTTAGGTTTTTAAGGTGCGGCTCAAACACAAGCAGACAGTTTCTTTGCCCGACACTGGTGCTGGACAGTTACGTGGGTAGGGCGGAGAAGCAGAGGCTGCGCTGCATGAGACCCATCCTGTAGCAGACCGTTGGCCAGGCAAGAAACCCACAGCTTTCGAACCTTGTGTCTTTCAGCTCTTCGGGGTAGATTTTTAGGAAAGCGCTCAGGTGTCGGAAAGATGGAGGCGCCCTGCGTAGCCGGCGTAGCGCCTACACTCAAACTCTTGCAGCTGCAGAGGCCCCGGAGGTGCCGACGCTCGCCCTCAACTTTAGCCTCGAGTCACCCCAGCAACGCTGGCGGAATGTCTTGGCGCAGTCCAACAAGGTCACGCCCTGCAGAACAAAACCTCCCTTGGAGTGATTTGGGAAAGAACAAATATGTTACGAAGTAACCAGGAGATGCTGCAGGAGCTGCTCGCCTCGGCAAGTGGAGCAGACTCCAGGCCGACGAAATCGCCCACAGTTGTGACAGTCACTCGCGTCACATGGGTGGTCTTTCCGGGTGACTTCTTAGCTGCGTTGTGCAGAGGACGATTGAAGAAATTGCAATGACGGTGGCCGACCGTGTTCTAGCCAGCGAGCCCGTGCAGAGCCTGCTAGAAGCGGACGGGGCGTTAAGTCCACTGGTGAAGCCCATGCACAGCGAGGACTTGCTAAAAGGCCTCACGACCTTTGCTGTCATGGTAGCTGTGTTCAAGATCGAAATCATCCGGCATCGGATCGCCATGTTTTTGAGGCCCACAGCTGGAAGACATCCAGGTTACGGAATGGAACATCTGGAGTGGCAAGGCCCATCCTGTGGCCCAGGTTTCAGGTTGCCCTGCGTGTGCACAAGCCATCGTAAGCCCCCAAGAGTCCACGGAAAGGGCGGGAGAGCCCTTGAAATCATACAGGTCAAGGACGCAAAGACAGCGGAAGAAGAGCTGCGCAAGTCATCAAAGTGTTCTCCCCAGGGTACAGCCCTTACATCTGCCGCGGGTGCATGCGGAGCGTGCTAGTGCTTGCGACATGGGGTTACCAGGGCAAGGCAGAGTCAGCCAAGGTGCAAGGAGCCATTCCGTGGACTTCGAGATGCGCGAATTGGAGCATCGCATGCCGGAGCAAGTAAGCTGCTCCTCCGAGGATGGCGAACTGAGAAACAGGACGGGTAAGGGCCGGTCATGAATGCATGAATGCAAAGGTGCATAGTGACACTGGACCCTAAGATGCGCCAAGCATGCGAGATGTGGAGGGTGCTTGTGTGCGTGCCTGTAGAGGTGTGTGTGTGTGGGCGTGCGCCCTTTGAGGATGCATGCCGGCCTAGAGCTTCGAACCACCACCCAGCAGTACACGTGGATGCGCTGGGAGGGAAAGCCAAAGGCTGTGCTACTCGTGGCCAAGCAAGGCCGAGCGCTGTGCCCATGCCTATATTGCCTATGCCATTCAACACCGGACCTATGCCTGTTACGCCTGCACTTCTCTTTCAGGTGACAGAGATGTCACACGCAAGCTCCGAGACATCGCCTCATGGATCGATTCTCAAGGCCCGGGGCATGTAACATGACGGGACCTTGTGTGCTTTGTGCTCACGCGTGTGCGCAGCCCGGTGTCTCAGGTTGCTATGTAGTGCTGGAGCCCGATCTGTGGGATGAAGTACAGGGGAGGAGCCCTGGAATCAAACCCGAACCATCGCCTCGTAAAGTTTGTTGGTGTGCTGACCCATGCGATTGCAAACGGATGGTCAGCAAAGCGAAGCGTGAAGAGACGACCTTCGCTCCCAAGTGGCAATGGGGCGGTTCCGAGGGTCTTCCCCCTGGGTTTGCAGAACGTTGCCGTACCTGGACACCGAAGCAAGACAAGCTTGAGGAACACATCGACTTGGTGATCTCTTTGGGGGGTGATGGGACCCTTTGCTGGACTTCAGGACTTTTTGCAGGTGCTATGCCGCCAGTTATTGCTTTTGCTGCTGGATCACTGGGTTTTTTGACTCCCTTTCCGCTCTCGGACTGGATGAGCGTCCTCATGCCAGTCCTGGGCTCAAAGAGCGAGGTGGGCACCCAGGTAGAGTTTCCATGACCGAACGATCACAGGTGTGAACGATGAGCGATGCTACCATTCTTTTTTTGGGGGGTGTGAACGTACGTGTTGTCTCTCGTAGTAGAGAACATGCACGCAACAAAGCAGTCCAAAGCAGCTCTCTCTAGGTATATTTGTAGTATGTGTTGTATTATTTTTTGCCTTGTACCGTGCGTAGTTTGTTATGCGTCTGAGAGTATCTGCAATCGGGATTCGGGATTTGGGTTTAGGGATTAGATTAGGGTTTTAGGGATTATGGTGTTTAGGGTTCAAAATTTTAGCGTTGTGCAGGGCTTATGGTGTAAGGACATGGGTTTACTTTGTGTGTAGTCTCTTTTTTTGAGAAGGGTGGTGGTGGGGTTAGTGCTTCAGATCCTGTGTGTCTTTAACTACCGTATTGCCTCTATCATGTTCATGCTTTAGTCGTACTTTTTTGTGGTTGTTTCCATTGCCTCCCTCTCACGTCAGTATTGTCGTTTCGTAGCCAGTGCTGTTCCCATTCTGAGATTAGCAAGCACAGTGCGAATGAATGGCCATCTTTAGCGGGGGATTCACAGAAGCCTCGAGAATGACAAGGTCTTTGTTTACGAATATAGACATACCAGTTTGCCGTCAGGCTTAGACTTCTCATGAAAGTAAGCAGCTCCATCTCTCAGAGAGACCCTTGCGCAACTGTGAGTTTACAAGGGTTCACCTTTTTTACATCTTCTATCATTATGTCAATAGCTTCAATAGAACTGCAGCGGAAAGCAGTAGTGTCATCACGTATATGTACATATCGACAAAGTGAATATATACATGTGAGACGAATGAATGTAATTTTCCTTGTACGGAATTTGGACGTCAGTTTCGTAGTTGAACTGAACTGGAAAGCATGACCCCACACTTCAATTAATCAGGGCCAGCGTGTAGTCAAACTGAATTCAACCAAAAGTCTGCTTTCATTCCGCTGCTACGGGGTATCGAATTGAATTCGATTGCAAGTGAAAAGGCGGATCTCAACAGAATACTAAAGACAGCAATTAGGATCCGGCACTACTTGATGGGATTCATATTGTGATTATCTTAGTAGATTCCAGGATCACCCTGATTTAAGTGTTTGTGCCTACATACCCCAAAAAATAGATAATTGGCTTGGTATAGCACGTTACTGCCATGTTTACATGAGAGTCCCTATGGGTTGCATCCAGAACTGCAGATGTTCATCGCTAGATCTCAGAAGGAAGCCAAAGATAGCAATTGGGATCCTACAGGACTTGGTAGGAGTCATCCTGCGTTTAAATATTGCTGTCGAACCCCGAAGACATGACATTTTCCTGTGTTGCTTGCAATCACTGGGGGAAAAGGAAACAAGAAGTCGTAACATTCAGCGGTCACACTGGGCATTTGCATGTTCTAGACATGTGACTGAAAGCAATTTGGTGGTTTTCCTTTGCCAGAAGCCATGTTGGTGGGGGGCTCGTGGGCTGGTGGTTGTGACAGGAGTTGGACCCTAAACTGTAAACCACTGTAAACCCTCTGCTTGGCTTTGAAAAACAGACAGAAGCTGTAGACAGCCACAAATCTCGTGGGGGTATGGTTCATTTGGGGGAAAGCGAAATGTTATGAGTTCCGACTATTGGTTTTCTGTTCAAAAAAGCATTGCGGCCGCGTTCCGCGACTGCAGGCCGAGTACGCCCGAGTACGCCCGAGCACGCCCGAGTACACCCGAGTGCGCCCGAGTACGTCCGAGTGCGCCCGAGTACGCCCGAGTACGCCCGAGTACGCCCGAGTACGCCCGAGTACGCACGAGTACGCCTGAGTGCGCCCGAGTACGTCCGAGTACGCCCGAGTACGCCCGAGTACGCCCGAGTGTACGTCCGAGTACGCCCGAGTACCCCCGAGTACGCCAGTACGCCCGAGTCATACCCGGTCATACCCGGTCATACCCGGGCATACCCGGGCATACCCGGTCATACCCGGTCATACCCGGTCATACCCGGTCATACCCGGTCATACCCGGGCATACCCGGGCATACCCGGGCATACCCGGGCATACCCGGGCATACCCGGTCATACCCGGTCATACCCGGTCATACCGTCCCGTGGTTTTCCGCAGTCGCGGTTTCCCGTCACAGTGCAAAAAAAGACCTATTGCATACTTGTGTGCTTGAATTCCAGCAGTTCATTGGGGGGAAAGCCAAATGTCTTGACTTCCAAGAAATAAGTCATAACGTGCAGTTCCTTGGGGGGAAGGTTTCCCCACTGCAATTGTTATGACTTCGGGGTCTGACTGTAAGCAACCAAGATCTCCCTGACTTATGTGAATTGCTTGCATTCACAACAAAAATCTAATGTGCTTTAGTACAACACTTTACATCACTCAGTATGTTTGCATGTGGAGAAACACAGTAGAAACCAACAGGACATGAGTGAAAGCAAAGGAATACGCGCTGCCCCTGTAGCTTTCTCTCATTTGCGCAAGGTCCTTTGCAAAACCAAGAAAAACAAAGAAACAAAGATCCAGGACCTTCAGGAACTCCTGGTGATTCATCGAAGAGTTCCGACACGTTGTGTTTTTTTGGGTTTCTTTTTCGTGTAGCTAGTTTAATTCAGGATTCAGTGACTTTGGGAAAGTGCATTTTCGCAGCGAAAACCAAAATGCGAAACAAACAAGAACACCTGAACTCTCGGAGAGGTCCGAAGTTGTGTTGCTTTTGGCGTTTTTGTTTTCATGGTTTTCGGGTGACTTTGGGAAGCTACCGCGAAGGACCGTAGACCAATTGTTGGCTTTGGTTCTCGGGAATTGCCTTTGCTCGAAAATATTTGGGAAATTGCCGCGAGGGGCCCCTCGCTTCGTATGATGCTAACGGTTTGTGACTGTCAAAGTTCTTTCAACTGCAAGCTTCTTTTGTCTTGGCGAGGTGGCCCCGCCATTGCAGCTGGTTTGCAGGATGCGATTTCAGATGCGGCTGTCTCGACACGAGGACGACAAGCTCAGTAGTAGAAAGCATGTTCAAGTAAGACCTGGATGCTTGATTCCCGATAGCAGGAAGATCCTGAAAGTTCACCGGCCATCCCTGTGCAGTCCATGAATGAGGCAAGGCCTATGTTCTTGCACTAAGACCGTCAGATTGCAGCCTCCTGGTTAGGTTTTGGTGCACAGAGGGGCCTCACCGCATCTAGTCAAACTGGATGTTTGTGCCAGCTCCTCAGTAATTGGGAGGTCTTGGTTCCACGGCCCCGGCTCTTACGATGTTCTCTTCAGGTTAATGACAAGAGCGTGACGATGGTGCAAGGGGATGGCCTCATCATCGCGACACCCACGGGAAGCACCGCCTACTCATTGGCGGCAGGGGGCTCCATGATGCACCCAGCGGTGCCTGGCATTATCCTGACGCCAGTCTGCCGCAGCCCCAAATTGGGAATTTCGGGTTGACCTCTATGCCTCTATGCCCCCCCCAAATATCGTTTGCAGAAAAGAGGCCCGCATTCTTTGTCTTTCCGGCCAGTGGTATTGCCGGACAGCGCAGCCGGGAGCTCAGAGGCAGTCAAAATGCACTCGAGTCAATCTAGGTTGTCGATGGTGACGCTTTCGTAAGAAGATGTGGAGGCCGTCTCGGTCCAGTGGCAGAGACATACTCTCCTCGAGAGCCATACCGAATAAAGGAACGTGCAAACGAAAGCAAGCTCGTACACTCTCGGCCGAGAGGTTTCCACGGTTCCTTAACCTAGAATTTGCGGAGAGCGTCTGTTGCCAATCATCCCTGAAACATCCTGAAACGTGTCAAACCAGGTGAACCGGTTACTCCAAGGGCTGAACACGGCCCCTCCTAGACGCCCTAAACATCCCTAAGTTGGTTAAGTTTTGTGACTTGAGTGCAGTGTTGTGGAGTCACGCCAGAATGTGACGCAGAATGTTTCTTTTGTGTGTGGTGGTGCTGCCCTGCCGTTCGAGGGGGTGTTCCGTTTCTACGAGATTCCAACATTGCAGTTTTAGAGAAGCCGCCTGCCCCGCAGTGCTGTGGCCGCGATCATCTCCTGCAAATAGATCTAGGTTGCAACCGCCTGGGTTTCAGCTCGCTCTTGCGGTTGGGGTTTGGGTTTAGAGGTTAGGGCTTAGGGTTTAGGGTTTTGGGGATGTTCCAGGGGCATTGTGGGCTTGGGTCGACTGCGTATGCGCAAGCTACCAATGTAGTGCCTGGTGGTTTCGTTTCAGCTCTTTGCTCCATGAAACGAACCATTAGATGCTCCAAGGCTCTGAGACATGTGTGTCGTTGTTTGTTCTCTTGCTTAGCTTAGCAATGCTGAAGCGCGAGGCAGGCTATTCGGACAATTAGGGCATTCACAACACACAGTACTTCACGGCTGCTATTCTGCCACTTCTACTGTGCTGAGGTTGTGAAAGTTCGAGTGCCCACAAGTGCTCGGAGCTCCCGTGTCATGGTGGCTGTCGATGGCAAGGAATTCCTGCCCAGAGCTTTCTAGTGATTTGCTGTACATGGCCACCACTTCTTGACGGATGTCGCTGCAGGATCGCATCGAGCTGAAGCGTGGTGACTCCATAGAGGTGTCAGTTTCACAGTATCCCCTTCCGACCATTTGCAGAGCTTCCGCCGCTTGCCTTGTTGCAGTCAAGTTGACTGAAATTTTCTATTTCATGATAGTAGATATTAAACATTACTTGCCGTGTATGAACAAAAGTATATACATGTATGCATAGACCTCGCCTTGCATGCACCGAGGTCACGCGAGACTGGTTCCGATCTGTCAATGAAGCACTTCAATGGAACCGGCGCTTGGAGCAGAAAGGTGGAAAGTTCCAAAAATAAGATGGTTTAGGGTTTAGGGTTTAGAGTTTAGGGTTTAGGGATGTTTAGGGTTTAGTGTAAATTCTGCAGACAGATTCTGTGGTCACTTCGTTTAGGCATGTGACGCCATGATGGCAAAGGCCAACATGGTCTGCTCACGTTCCAGTCGGTAGCGTTAGTCTGATCCGTGAAGCTCAGGCTTCGCACATCGTTTTTCGCTGTCTTGTGTGGTTGCGGGATAAAGCTGTAGAGAGCGTCCCATGCAGCTGCCTTTGGTTTTGGGGAGTTCAAGAATATGAACATGCCCACATATGACATGTGCTTGGGGGTCAGGACCCGTATTCACTTATCATGTCTGCTTTCAGAGCCGCGCTGCGTGTCTTTTTGCTGACCCATGTAGATTTCAGGCGATCTTCACCACGAAGCCCTCACAATACCAAGCTGTCACATTTCCAAGACCATCATAGTCAACCGTGCGACGTGCTTATGCAAGGCTGGCGGTAAAATTGTGTCTTTGCCAAGTGGCTCTAGATGGTTGAAGTCCGGTGCATGTAGAATGGCAGTAGCATGTGGGACCACTTCGCATGGTTTGAAAAGATGCATGCTGCAGAGTTTACTGCCTTGCGCTCTCGAGTTGGAGGGAGAGGCATGCATTAGACAAGATGAGAGACGTTCAAACAGCGTAGGCATGCAGAGAAGCTGGACCAAACACCATCCCGGCTGACTTATACTGTCTACGTTTGAAGCTCGAAGACCACGACATGCCCTGCGAAGAGCCTCTTGCAGGGGACACGTCACGCCACAGAGGAGTTAAGCACCGCATTGTCGTGGCCGTGTGTAGCGCCAGAGTGTTCTCGGGATCGGCCATGGCCTCTTCAGGGTGCAATGTGGGAGCCGACCTTAGTGTCATGGCACCCTTCCCAAAGGCGGTTAACCGGTGCGTGTAACCTAGCAAAGAAGGGCATGACAACCGGACAACTGCTGCGGGATAAGCAGCCAACTCACAGAGCACATCCACAGATCGTGACTTAGATATCGGGGCGCGGATTCGGTTGGGTTCGAGCTCAGAAGGGTTTTTGTGCATGGGAGAAGTCGTGAAATCCTGCAGAGCTTCGTGCGTTTACGGGTCCCACAGTTCACACATGTCACATGACCCTAGATGACCCTTAAGTAAACCTTGGCGGGCCTGTTTTTGGAGTATTGTTTTTTTGGTTTTGTTTTTGGTGTGTTTTCTGGGCTTTTCCTGGGAAGACCTCTTTCCGCGTGTATTTTGCGAGGAAATCGCCTTAAAGTGTGCAGAAGAAGAAGAAGAGACAAGATAAGAAAGCAAAAAAAAAAGTAATGCAAGACATAAAGAGACAAATAAATGAACGAATGTTATATGTAGTATACGCATAAACCAAACTGTTCATATCTATATATATCTATATATATATATATAATGTATGATATGAGATATATGAGCGACAAGCTTTTTTTTGACGCCTCCTGCGGGGTACTGCAGGGGTGACATAGTGCAGTATTCTGGCGAAGCGATACCTACTGCCAAAAACGATACCTCCATGATGAACGTGCTACGTGATCGCCCAAGTCATGTGATAGGAACGGGACGATACCTTTAACAACGATACCTAAACCATGCTCGTTTTGTAGTCGCAGTCGGCCATGTCAGGCCACGGGGCCTTTCAGTCTGTAGCCGTACTCAAGGTGAGAAGCTGGGCAATGGCCGAACGGTTTCTTCAAGAGCACCTAACTGCTGGCCTGAGATCTGCTGGGGATTTAGGGCACATAGTGCCCTATATGCTTTAAATTCTAAGTACTTGGAGGAGACCCAAGACATGGTTTCCTCCAGGCGATACCCTGCCTTCGCAGATTGAGCCAGCGCTTGGCGAAGCCATGCCAAATACCAAAATCGATACCCACGCACACATGTCCGCTTTGGGTCCTTCGAGAATTGCTGCCCGCTAAAATTGAATGCTACAGACAGTCTGAGTATTCCTTACCATTTGCATATATTTTGCTGTACTATAGTATATTATCATATAATATATTATATTAGATTATATTACATTATATTATACTATATGATATGATATGATATTATCTTATATAATATAATATACTCTACTATAATATTATATTATCTTATCTTATATTATGTTCGGTATGTTATATTATATCATATTATATTATATTGTATTAGCTTTTATATATCTATATAGAATACGATTAGTCATATATCATATCAACATATATAATAGTAATAATCATAATCATTGTTATTGCTACTACGATTATTGTGAATGTGATCATTGTTATATGAGTGCTTGCTTCAAAGCATATGAATCCTGTCCAAACCTCATCGTTTTGCCTGCAGTCTAGTTGAACTCCGGTTCCTGCGGGACGTCTCTTGCTGTCCATACCCGAAGCTGTTAATCGCCGCCACTGAGCGGCCGCGACAACAAGTCGTGAGTTACAGCTAGCTAGTAGGTCAGACCAGACCGCTGCGGAATCGAGTTCGAGTTCGAGTTCCAAACCTCATCGTCCGTCCGAGCATTGCAAACGGGGTGGCGGCCAACCGCTTGTTCTGGGCCTAGTTTTGGACGGTGCCAGGCTTGCCACCCCATCATGCTGCGTTTGCAAATGGGGGCTGGCCTTGTTTTGGGGCCTAGTTTTGGGCTAACCCCAGAAAACCCCAAACCACCCAAAAAAAACAATCACCCCCCCACCCCCCTCACCACCCCCCTCACCCACCCCCTCCCCACCCCCCTCACCCCAACCCCACCACCTGGCCTCTGGCCCTCTCTCGCAGCTCTCGTGCAGCTGAGGCTCGACGCCTTGGTGTTCCGCATCTATGGCCGTCTCGAGTGAAGGCAGGCGAAAAAGCGCAGTGCACAAGTGCTACTTGTTTTGCATGTTTCAGGTGTTCTTCCTTGCAATTTTGACGTCCGTCTTTAATTTCAGCGTGTTCCAATACCTGCACAATGCCATGACCTGAGAATCGAGTGTAGACTTCCAGACTTCCCGAAAAGACATGGCGGCGGAGAGCGAGCTGAAAGTCCGAGGCCAACGTGGCGTATCTGAACTTGGCATCGCCATCTTCCAACGAGATCGTGTGCAAGCTACCGAGGGACAGCCCCGCCCACCCTTTACCTTTGGCTGATTCTTTCTGTGTTTGGGGTCATGGCTCAGGGCTGGGGCGGATGCATGATTGGTGCTACTCCGTAAAACAAGCAGGGATGCAAGACGATCAGGGCGTGCAAATCCTTGCGCCCATCTGTGTCCAGTCAGGAGGAGTGCGCTAGCAATCCAGATCCGGCAAGATGCACCGTGGACTTGGAGGATCGTCGCTTCTGGAGAGGCCACAGCAACATCATGTTCTTGGGAGGATGGAGATGGGCCCCCAGAGGAGGACCAGTTTCCCCAGTTTCAACTCAAGGTTCCTCTGCAGCACACGGGCCCAAGCAAAAACTTGGTGAAGTGTTTCATGGCAGTTCCTTCGGAAGCCCCTCCTTGGGCCCCTTGGGTGAAGAGCTTGCGCCGCCTGCGAGTTCTTCTCTCCGAAGAAAGTGACATCGCCCGAGGCCTCTTGGACGCAACCGGCAGCCGGGCCCAGGATGGCCCTGGCAAGATTTATTGGTATATGATTATCATATAACTTAGTAAAGCACAACATTCATATAGCACAATATAATGTAATCATCTTATTTTGTTTTGATTGTTTAAAAGTATGCAGCAATATGAGTTTACCCACCCAATTGAACGCGCGCAGCGCGGGGCTTCCAAGTCCTAAGGCTTTGTGAGTAGCGACGAGCCGGAGATCGAGATTCCAGACCGCGAGCTTTCGAACCATGATAGCCTTCGCGAGAAGCAGCTGAAGCTCGCACTGGCAGAGCTGCTCGAGTCGAGCGAGTCTCAGGAAAGACAGGAGGTCGGACTCCTTGCTGAGTCTGCACTGGACTTGGTTCGCGTCTACGAAAAGCAGAGTCGCTGTGCACAGCTCGGCTCAGATGCGAGCGACGCAGCAAAAGCCGAGCAGTGCAGAGCCATGGATGCCCAAAAGGCAGCTCTTCTGGCAGCACGAATGGCCCTGAAGGACCGAGGCTTGGTGGCAGCTGAGCAAGGGAGCTGTTCTTCTGAGCGCTAACTTTGACGTTCGAAGCGAGAAAGGGCCACTGGCCTTCGACGTGATAATCCTGCAGTTTTGGGGGTTAAATTGCTGGTGTTAGAGGCATGCCAAGCCCAAGGGATCAGCAAACAATTTAATGCAAAATTGAAGTTGCCCCGAAGCCCCCGAAACCGCCGGCGGCAAGATCGGGGTGGCTCTGCCGTCGGAGGTCAAAAACATCCTTTGAGTTGGGGGTGCTTGGTTGATCCTTGCAGGCTCAGTCGAGGTTGCATTGGCATGCATGGTAGTTGGATGTTGGAAAGTCGTCCAGTGAGGCGGCGAGGCAGGTGGCAGCACACTCTTTCCGGTTGCTTTCGTCTGTTCACGCAAGCATCGAAGCTGTACGCGTGTGTGTGTGTGTGTGTGTGTGTGTGTGTGTGTGTGTGTGTGTGTGTGTGTGTGTGTGTGTGTGTGTGTGTGTGTGTGTGTGTGTGTGTGCCATTGACTCTAATTGCGGAACTCTTGTTGCTTCTTTAGCCTCACAGACACCTGTGTAAAGCGCATTTGTTGCACCAGAACGCAACCCTGACATTGTCTGGACATGTCTTGTGCTCTAAGGGGAATGGGCCCTTGTCGAAGCCAAGCATCGTGCCCAGCAGCTGGAGGAGGAGCGCTTGCAGCAGGAGCCGAAGCCTTCTGAGCTGTTGCCCCATGAGGGCATGTCTGAGTGGTTTTTCTACACTCTGGTAAACCTGTGGTGGCATCCTGTAGTTTGTGGATACCTAGATCGGCCGCTTACCCTCGTAAAGAACCCCTGTTGCTGTTTCGAGGTAGGTTGAGATGTGTTGACGTGAAGGGAGGTGCTGCGTGGCGTCCAGGCTTCCCTAAGTGCAACGCTCCTGGCAGTGCTTGCTGATTTTCAAATCCAATCCAGGACTGCCGCATCCGAGCCTTGCAGACAGCCCTTGACAAGGCCGTTTCGTCAAGGACCGTTCGCGCTTTTTTGTGGGTCGGATTGTTTCTGTCGTGTTGCCCCGGCTGTGTTTGTCAGATAGTTTGTCCTGGTTTTATGATTTTCGCACTGCATGTCCCGCTACGCAGGTCCCTCCGCGCAGGTCTCTTTGTCCCGGTACTGGCCCACCTATGCAGGTCGCACTTAGACAGTTTTTTCAGTTCCTGACAAGTCAGGGGTCTCTTGGCACAGAGGTCCTGCCAAACCACATTTGCCATATGCGAGGGTTCCTGTGGAAGTGCTTGCGGGTCTGTTTACACAGGTCCCGCTAGAGAGCGGCACCTCCCTTCTGCGGAGCCTATATGTAATCTAGCAAGCAAGGTTCCTTCGCACAGACCCACCTGTGCAGGTCCGGTGCGTCCTTTCAATCACATCAACTACCCCGGTCCCTCACAGGTCTGCTGCATGCAGATATTCAAATCGCAAACGGAAAAGATACCGACACGAAGCCGCACACCGCGAGTGGCAAACTGGATACTTTACCTGACGTAGTGTGGCGAATCTTTCAGGAAGAGCGCAGGACTTCGGAGAGGTCTCTTTTCGACAAGCCTTTCTTGCAAGTCACCTGGCATGGGTCCCTGATCACCCCATTCAAATCGATGCTTTTGCACAATTCCGGTTCCACCTCTGTCCACCTTGTGCAGGTCCCACTGCAAAGCTTGCTTCATTCAGCACCCTCACACTCATTGACTTTAAGTTCATGTTACTCAGCAAAGCGTTCACTTGCCCTCGAGGACGGAGGCTGAGAAGCGTCACCTGGAAGCATATTCTACAGCTGATGCGGAGGCCGTACGCAGCAATTAAGGTTGAGATGCGGCGGCCGTACACTGCAATTGAGGTTGTGTGGCCGAAAATATGTACTTGTCGGAGCAGGAGGAGGAGTATAGGAGCAGGAGCAGTAGTAGTCGTCGTAGTCGTCGTAGTCGTCGTAGGAGTTGTAGTAGTAGTAGTAGTAGTAGTAGTAGTAGTAGTAGTAGTAGTAGTAGTAGTAGTAGTAGTAGTAGTAGTAGTAGTAGTAGTAGTAGTAGCAGTAGGAGGAGGAGGAAGAGGCGGAGGAGTTGTAGTAGTAGTAGTAGTAGTAGTAGTAGTAGTAGTAGTAGTAGTAGTAGTAGTAGTAGTAGTAGTAGTAGTAGTAGTAGTAGTAGTAGTAGTAGTAGTAGTAGTAGTAGTAGCAGCAGCAGCAGCAGCAGTTTTAGTAGCGGTCACGGTGGCGGGGATGGTGGTGGTGCTGGTGGTGCTGGTGGTGCTGATGGTGCTGATGGCGGTGGTCGTGGTGGTTGTGGTGGTCGTGGTGGCGGCAGTGGCAGTGGCAGTGGCAGTGGCAGTGGCAGTGGCAGTGGCAGTGGCAGTGGCAGTGGCAGTGGCAGTGGCAGTGGCAGTGGCAGTGGCAGTGGCAGTGGCAGTGGCAGTGGCAGTGGCAGTGGTAGTGGTAGTGGTAGTGGTAGTGGTAGTGGCAGCAGTAGTGGCAGCAGTAGAAGCAATAAAAGCAGCAGCACCACCACCACCACCAGCTGTTGCTGTTGTTGTTGGTGGTGGTGGGTGGTCGTAGTAGTCGGCGGTGTCGGTAGTGGTGGTGGCAGTGGTGGTGGTCCCCTCCTCACACGGGTTGTTACCAGGCGGCCGAACAAAGAGGCGAGCTGAGGAGGCGGCTTTCAGCTGCTGAGGTCGCCAGGGACCAGGCCATAGTCGCTGCTGCTATTGTTTGCAGGCAGCTTTCTCAAAGCTGAAATTTGCGAGCCACTTGGCGAGGCGATGGCTGACCTTGCTGCTGTTGAGGAGCGCATTGAAGAAGTGCGCCGGTTGGCCGATCGGCGGGAGGAGGACCCTTTGTGTTTCCTCGGGTCTAGACCTTGGTGCCACGAGCTCACCACAGAGCACAATGGCTGGCCACGTTCACAGGACTTGCTCGCACAATTGGCCGCTCGGGAAGCAGAGCTGGAGGCCTGGTCCCATGGTAGTGGAAAGCGAACATGAACACATGTTAACACTTTGCAACCGATGAGCCGTGCCATGCAACATCGTGAAAGCCGTGCCATGCAACATCGTGAAACGCGAGGAGCTCCGCAACAAACCTGGGAACGGCACGGGTTACCCAAGCGAAGCGCCGCCGGACCTGCCGAGCGAGGTCTGTCCAGGGCTTCCATAGTGGCAGTCGCTTCTTATAACGGATCTACGTCATGTGTCCAGATTTGCCAGGCGCAGGAGCCTGCCATTCCCCGCAAGAAGCCCAGCTTCCATCTTCAGGGAATGCCCACTGGAGGCTCGAGTCGGCTCGAGCCCTTCGAAGCTTCGAAAAGTCGATGCTGAGTGCCTTTGGCTTGTGGCCCCGGCAGGCTTGACGGAAGAGTCGCACATCCAGGGAGTGGGCATGGTCATGGCTACTCCGCGATTGCACTACGACCCTCGGCCTGTGCCCGCGCCACCGAAGTCGGGGCCAGCGGACACGAGGCTGAACCATGCCGCACCCCACAAGTTGCTTTGCTGTATTTTTGCTGTCCTGCAGGCAAGCCAAGAAATCTGCAAGCGCAGCAATGCCAATGGATCTCAAATCCTTAGGCGCGGCATGCGACACAACCTCCCGTTTCGCTACGATAAAGTTCAGTCTGAAGCTGTGCAGGGAAGCTGCTCAGCGGCGGCGGCATGCTCGGAAAGTAAGCACTATACAGGCTGGAGTCTTGACTGAAAGCCACTACAGCAACGCTTAATTCATTGCTTCTGTGTTTTGCAGCCCTTGCCTGCGTATCCACTGCTTCTTGTCGAATGCTACTAGTAATACATGGTAAGGCTGTGAACGGCCATTGCTGGAGAGGGGGCGAAGATGCTTGGGCTTGTTCGGTCAAAGCACCGTGGAGCCGTTCAGCGTGAACAGAGCCAACCCTTGACTGAATCGGTTCTTGACTATGTACTATCGCACCTTTGTTTTGCCTTGCCGCTGTCTAGGAACAGCATGGGAAAGCTACCGGCAATGTCCTGCTCGTTCCGCATAGTCTTAGTCTCACCTGGTTTTTTCTCCCTACTAGACTTTTGTTGACAGGCGCGGCCTCATTCACTTTGCAGCTGATTGGAGTTCAGGCGCCCCAGACCTGGCCAGTTGGCCCATGCCTTGTGGAGAGGCCGTGGAGGCTGTCAGAATTCTAGCCCAGCAGCACAATTTCATGACTTTGCAGGGGTCGTTCATTGTTCCATATGCTTTTGTCTCTCCAGTGGCGCTGGTATCGGAGTAGTGTAGTTAGCATGGCGCGCGCGGCGGTCAAAGACTCGCATGTGCGCAGCTTCCGCACGGGCATGATGTCCACTTGATTTTTTTGGGCCCATCCGCTTCAAGCCTGAAGTGGTCATCAGACTTGCTCGAGCAGCTGACTTTGGAAATAAGCCTTGATGTGCTGTGAGCACGTGAGGACACCCGTGTGGAAAGCATGCGACCGTTACAAGCCCCAAGTCACTATCAGTGAGTTGTCCTTCCCACGGCCTACTGACTGTGCCAGGCCTTAACCTCACCACACCGTGCCCGCAACTACCGGACTCGGTGAAAGGCGGCAACCCTGGAAAGCACAGTTCAGAGGCTCTTTTTCACTCTCCTTTACGTCCAGCCTGGGCAGGTCAGACATGTTCGGGCCTTACCGGTGATGCGATCTGAAGAGGCTACAAGCTGATAAGTTGGGACATCACTAACATCCCTTAATCGGGATTATACTAGGGGGGGGGGGGGTACAAGAATAGACTAGAATCCTAAGTAAGGACTGTTAGTCTACGGGGGAACATGCGATCCCTGGTGGTCTTCACGCCTGGGCTGAGGCCACAATCCCTGGCTTCCCCTTCGGGCCATGTCCGGGGATTTGGGAAGCCTCCACACCGTGAACGTGGGCTCTACCCTTGGAAGCCCTGACCCAGAGACTCCAAAACCCCTTAATTAAGGAAATAGACCTTAAATCATATTAGTTAGGGTTTCTATGATCATTTAAGGGTTTTGGAGTCTCTGGGGACATGCTGTTGCACACTTGCCACAGGCACCTACTGGTACTGAATCGACGCGATTTCTACTGTCCTTTCGGCAGCTATAGAGTGCCATGTAGGCAGTCGTGCCCTCTCAGATCTGAGGTGTGCACCCATTCAGACTTTGGAGCATCCTCTTCCTCGTCCTCACATCGCTGCTCAGCCTGTCGATTCTCATTCATGACTGTGGCTTTGAGCAAGTCTTATAGGTTTTAGGGGTTTTAGGGGGTTTTAGGGGGTCTCAGGGGGTTTTAGGGGGTTTTAGGGGGTTTTAGGGTTTCTGCATTTCCTGCTCTGGAACGATGTGCTTTGCAGGACCTGGCCTTGCTTGCGGAAGACCAACGACCATTTATCTTGCCGCGCCCTTGGACCGAGCAGAGCTCGGGACTGGACACTGGTTTCCGAAAATGTTTGGGATACAGAGGTCGATTCCGAACATGAAGTATGCCACTCCATGTTTGTGGGATTGCTTGACATGCCAGCGGCTCAGTCCGTACGTCAGAGAAACGAGAGAGAAACTAGGTTCATCATTCGTGAGCATGTGTTTTGGTTTTGGTTCATTTGTGTCAAATGACTGTTGCGTTTAGGTTGCCGGGGTATGGCAAAAACTTGTGTAAGAGGTGTGCGTGGACGGCGGCAGACGCGGCGAATTTGGTCGCAGAATCGCTGCACCCTTGCTTTGCTGGCAGACGCCCTGGCAACTTCCCAAATGTACATGTATATAAATATGTATATATATATGTATATACACAAACAAACACACATACATATACATAATGTATATATGTAGATGTGGTCCCCCCATGGATCCATTCATACACACATACATACATACATACATATACTCTCTCTCTCTCTCACACATATATATATACATATATATATATGTATACAGGTGTAGGGTTTTTGTAGCAGGGCCTAGAGGTGCCAAAGTTGGCTGAGGTCATGCTCTGGTCGCTTTTCCAAGCCGTTGCTTTCATGGTGGTGCGCCAGCAGGGCTTGTGTCGTCATAGCAATGGGGCATAGGGTTTCGAAAAGGTGTCCGAATGAAACAGGGTTTAGGATTCCGAGGTATCACAAGCCTGTTGCAAAAGGATTCAGGGTTTAGGGTGGGCCCACATGGCAAGATGATGCAGGTGATGTACCCTTTCTCACTGTTAGTGTGCACGGGGCCCAAATGCTTTCTTGTTTCGGCTGCTTGTGCATCATCTCCAGTCGCGCCTTCCTAGTCGCCCTCGCTGGGTTTTTCTCCCAAAGGTGTCTATGCTCCCGTCAAGATGTCGCGTATCATGGCAAGAGCCTTAAAGAAGCGGGTTCAGGCGCCTGTGATAGCAGCATAAATATTGCAGCCATGCCCTCAAAGCCGAGGTCTTCCTGTCGTCCATACTCTGCGCAATGTGGGCCGTGGTGTTTGTGGTGTTCACCTCTCTCGTCGACACCCACGCGCATCGGCCTCAGTTGTTCGGCAGGGCATGCCTACAAGCAGCGCCTCCTGCTGTCTCGGGGTACTTGACACCTGAGCTTAGGTATGCGGTGCTGTGGGGCGTGTTCGAGCCTCAGAAGTGGCTGGTGCTAAACTCTAAGCCCTAAACCCTAAACCCTTTGGAAGCGGTGCTGGTTCACAGTGCAGTGGTGCTCAGTTGCTCAGACTCAGAGATAGCGCCGAGTGAGCCCTTTGGAAGCCCCTTCGTGGCAGATCCGAGCCTGGCTCCGACACCAGCTGCCTGTGCCTCTGCGAGTTTCCTCTCAGCAGGCCTGGGTTTGGCTACTTTGGCTGTATGTGTACATGTTTATATATATATATACACGTATATACAATGTGTATTCAATCTACTCGTACCATGTATACATACCAGATACATGCGCTATACATTTGTTTATTCCGGCCTCGGTGTGGGTTGTTGGAATCTAAACTAAACTCCTCGCCTCGCCCGGTTTGCTCCTCGTGCCACCCCACAGTCAAGCCTGCCCAACCCCATAGTATCCCTGGAGCCCCTGTCCCCAAACACTTCCAAATCTGTGGGGTGGGGATGTCCGAATAAAAACTGACATATGTTTGTTTTTCTTGAAGAATTATCCCTACCTCTGCACATCTCTGGGTTCACAGGCCAGTGGTGTTGCGGATCGTGGTTCTTGGGATTGGCGTGTCTCCAGCTCAAAGAACACGTGACTTTCTCAGAAGTGCCGGTTTGTTGCTGTTGCTGATCCTCCAGGTGCTGGCACTCGATCAATCTGACTCTGCGAGCCTTGAAAGGGCTTAGGCGTGCACAATGGGCCAATATGCCAGCCCCTCAGTCCCTTGTCCGGCAAGCACTTGCAAGCGCCGAACCGGAGAAAGAGAACCTTCACGCTTCACCTTCAAGCTTTGCATGCCTAATCATGCCTTCAGCCTTTGTGTAACAGACGTTCACCAAAACAAGCGCCGAGGTTCAGCGTCCTGTACTCTGTTCCTGTGGAAGCGTTTCCCGTTGTGTGGGAGCGGCCTCAGGACTGCATAATGTTATACCAATGTGCATATCCAAGAGTATTATCGGAGAATTGAATAATGTTGTAAGAACATACTTATGTCTGCCGGTTAAAAGTCTGAGTGTTTCTGGGTTTGGGATGGTTTGGGGTTTGCGAATACGGACCCCAGCACGTCCTGCGAGGAGGCGGGCGGAGGCCCTGTGAAGTGGCGAACGGAGGGCGAGGCTTCACTTTGTGACTTCGAGACATTCTATATATATATATATGTATTTATTTTTGTTTTTTATATTTATTGATAATTATGTTTGTAATTCTATTATATTTATATTTATATTCATACTTATCTATCGATCTATCGATATATATATATATAGTCCGGACGCCAGGCTATGCAGTCGGAGCCGGCCTTCGACCCCTTCTGCCTGATGGACACTGCTCTCTTGAAGATCTTAATTCAGTGCCCGCTGCTCACTGGGGCCCACTGTTACTTCGCTTTCTTGTGCCGCTCTAGGACGAGCAGCCGGAAAGTGCGTCGACCCAAGCACACACGGTGGTTCGTAGAAGAGCTGCTGCCCATTCCGCGTAGAGAGAGCGCCAAGATTGGGATAGCAACAAAGGGTCAGGAAGCTTGTTGCAGGCCTGGACTCGGGCCATCATTGCACCGGTGCCGGTCAAGGACTGGGAGGGAGCGCCCATGCAGGGTGGGAAAGAACTGAAAGAATGCCAGCATGCACATGAAGTCAGACCAGCAGCTTCTGGCACAGGGATGTGCTTGTGAGATTTCCTTTGCTGTGCCGAAGCCAGGATGATTCACGCTTGAGTGTCAGGGGGCCCAAGTCTGACATTCGACGACCTTAGCTGGGGGTCCTGGCCCATAATGGCCCACACCAGTCAGGTATGGGAGCCATACTTGGGCACGCTGGACATGGAGATCGGCACGGCTCTCAGATGCCTGGATGCTTCCCCCATGCTTGAGGCGAAGTGTTGATCACAAGTGGAGTTTGCCAGGCTGGTGTGGGTTTCCACGCCCGGTGGGTGGCGTACAGCCCCCAGAGCGGGGAAGTCCTGCAGAGCTTCCGGGTGAGGCATGCTCAGATTCGGACTGGACGTGACTTTTGAAACCGAGGCATGGGAAAGGGACACTGACTGCGAGACCGACTCTTTGAAAACCAAGGAGGAGGTGGACTCTGCAGTGCAGGACTCTAAAAAGACAAGGGCAAAACCCGGGCCGGGGGATGTGCTGAGCAACTCAGCTGCGAAAAGGTTTCACAGGTTCCCTCACGCCTCAAGGTCCTGCAGATGCATCAAAAAGGCATAACTTCCCCTCACCAGCGCCGCGACATCGTGCAGGAAGTGGGAAGCACCTCATCCTGCAGCCACAAGCTTGTGGGTTTGCTTTCGCTGCGGGAACGGAAAATTGGGCAGTGTGCAAGATGTAGAGCAGCAAGCCAAGGATCTGACCAAAGCTGTCAGAACGGCACGCCGCAAGGTGAATGCGGTTGGATCAGCAGATGTAGTGGAGAGATGTGAGCCGTGCGCCATCTGACTGCAGCACAGCAGAACCATGGCAGGCATTTGGTCCCGGAAGGCTCATGGGCATGATCTGGACCATGAACCTGAGCATCTGCAGTACTGCACAATGTGTAGGTCAAGAAGCGGCCCCCACCTATGCTTTTCCTCCACACAGAGGTTGAGGAGGACGAGGAGGCTCTTCTGCTTCAGGGTTGTAAGAGAGTTGCGGATGTGTGTGCACATTCAACCGGCACATCTCCAGACCATCTGGCCGGTTCTCTTGGTGATGTGTCGTTCTGTCTGTGGACACAGTGAGGGCTACCTGCCCTCTTGATGGTAGACCATTTTAGGGGGTCCCCTGCGACCCTGATTTAGCCATTTAGATCTGTGATCCATCTAGATCTGTGCCCAGCACCTGGAATTTACGTGGCACGGACAGGAAAGAGCATGCTGCGATATCTTTGGCGGCAGGATGAAGAGATGGCTGCCGCTGGTGATGCGCTCGAGCCTCAGTGCCGACAAGAGAAGAGTCAAGTGAACAGTCAGGCTGACTCCGGAGACTTGTGAAATAGAAGCGCCCGAGAGTGCAAAAGTACTGGCAGGTTCCAAGGTTTGCAAGACTGGGACGTCGATCTCGGCATCAACGGCAGCAGGCCGCAGACATGATAAGGCTTTGCTGTGCAAAGCTTGGACCCCGCAGCTCTCACAGGCCTGCTTCAGCCTCCAACACCTTCCATCGGCGACTCTCGGACGCCCAGGACATCTTTCACATGGGAGGCAGATTTGCCTGCAAGACTTGCTTGCTATATCTTTGCTGTTAGTTTGCCCTCCTTTCTTCCTACAGTATGTTCTGCCTTCCTTCGCTCAGCGTTTGCTGGGGCGCGCTGGCGTGCGCTTGCATTCACTGGCGGGCGGTGCATCGCTTGTCCAGGCCTGGCAGACCCGCGTCCGCCTACTCCAGCTTCTGGTGCGTCGGGGCCGCCCTCTGCTTCTGCGTCGCGGCAGCCAACGCCAACTGAACAGAGCCCGGCTCCAAGTTGCCAGTCGAACCATTCTGGCACCACAGCCAGCATCACGTCGCAGATAGCAGCTGGTAGTTGAGAAGCGTCTCTATTGCCTTTCCTATTGTGGGAGCTTGGCAAGGCCAGAGAAGTGCTCCAAGTATCGTGGGGAGAAGGCTGCTGACCCCAGTTGGCCATGCCTCCGCCCCAGAAACTTGCAATGCCTCGGCGAGAAGATGATGCGTGCAAGATGTCAGCAAGTCAGTTTCCAAAGCTTCATGCGCCCTTAGAACGCGCGTTTGCTGCGCACCTCTCATGGATGCCTTGTAGTCCCAGAAGAAACAACGTCTTGAGGGCCGGCCGTGAACCCCAACCGTCCCAACCCATACCTTCGATGGGCTTCGATTTTCGACGCGAAAGTGAGTGTCGAAACCTTGCCCCGCAGTGTGAGAATTAGGCGGGCGACAAAAGAAGCCTTGCACCGCGGTCGTTGACCATCTAGTCAGGTGTGGTGTGAGGCTGCAGGCAACCCAAAAAAGACTTTAACCCTGGAGAGCACGGGGACCCTTTAGGGTCTTGGGTTGTTGCAACCTTCAGTATTGTCCCTGACTTCGGGCTGATTTGTACGCTTCTGGTTAGTTTGCCTGTGGAAATTGATGTCTGACATGTTCTTTCATGGGATCTCACTCCTCAGTTTCCCTTGCGGATCTTCGCCAAAACCTAAGACAATCCCTGACGTTCTGCGAAGCTGCCAACAGGTCCGGGGCTCGAGACCAGGCCCCCCAGGGCCTCCATTCCTCGTGTGAGGCAGAGGCTACAGCGGGGTTCCGGGTTCAGGTATTTGTGCGCTTCTTTTTGCACCCCAAGCCATGAACATCCATACTTCATTGTAGGCACATCATGTGCAAGATGTACCGTTTCACCTGGATACGACATGTGCAAGCAGCCGGCATGTGTCAAAAGGCGACATCTATGCCAGATGCGATGTTGCATTTCTTGCGCAGTCTCTGCAGGCTCATCCAACTCTTGTCTGCGACCTTATAACCTCATGATGCTTGCAAGCTGTTTTCATGGCCCACCCCAAGCGACCCAGTGGTAGGGCTCTGCGGCATGGCCCGCAGCAGCTTCAGCGAGACTGGCACACCCGGAATGTCCATGGTTGCCGATGATTCCACGGCATCATGGCACGCCCGGCAGCGCTCCCTCCTACTGCGCAGCCCTCAGATTCGGATTGCTGATGGTTGGGCTTTGTAACCTTGTTGCCGCATGCTCCGCACAGCCATGAGCCGCAAGGTCGCGCGAGCGGGCCTCCTCCAACCAGAGCCTCCAAACAGAGCGGCCGAGAAGGGCACCCCCAACCTGGCCGGCTGTCCTCGTCAGCCTGCTGCACAACCTGAGTGCCTGTGCTGTGAGTTTCAGGGAGAGAGGTCGGCACACAGCACCCCTTGAGGTCCGCCTCGCTGTTTTCTGATATTCATGTTCAATCTGATGGGCTGGAGCACTTCTTACTCGATGGGTTGGTTCTTGCCAAACTTGTGAGATTTAAGACTATGTAGGGCCCGCGGCGGTGGCCAGCATACCAACTCTGACATTTCTTGGGTAGTGCGAAGCCATAGCACTCCAGACTCAGGAACATAAGCATGCGGGACAATCGCAGACGAGGAAGCTGATACTGTCTTTGCTAGCATTGTAGGTTGGTAGCATGCGGGCGTGGAAATGGCGGGCACATGTAAACAAACCCTTGTGGAAGAGAATCCCACGCAAACCCGCAGAGTATCCCTAGAGTTGCCCACCTCCCAAACCCCCGAACCCGCACAGTGTCCCTGGAGCGTTGATCGCTCTAAGAGTGAGGATGTTCGAAGTACTTCATTTGGTTCTCATTGTCTGAGCGCCCAAGGGTGGCGGGAATTCTTCTCGCAGACAGCACACTTTGCCGGAGCTTCTCATGACTCCATGCCCGGCTTTCAAGCAACACTCCAGGTGCAAGACCTGACGCGAGTGCTGCTACATACAGGGCACTACTGGTTGCGCGGGGGTGATACTCTGTGGAATTCTCCGGAGTTTGGGGGGGGGCCCCCCTTTTCTAGGTACGCCTTGGTATATTCCACGTTGTCCCTTATTGGGTTTAAGAGCATTGTATTTCACAGACTTTGTTCAGAGGGTTTAAGGGCCAACCTAGTCTCCAAAAGAACTTTGCCCCAGAATGATATGGGGGAGGGGGTGGCTATATTCCGTCTCCCCAATGATTGTGGAGGGTTGTAAGTGAACCCGAGCCAACGTTCGGGCTCACAAGGCAGATGGGAAGCGTGACTTCACCGATGCAGAATGCAGTTTTCTCCCGACACCCGGAGACGAAGCGTTCACCCAAATCCACCGAAATTGCCACATCCAAAGCCTTAAGCAGCCCCATAAGCCCAAAGACCCCCTAAGCCCCTTAAGCAGACATCCGGGGAAGCTCGAGGCCACTTGGAAGTGGCCCAAGCTCCATAAAAGCCGTGGAAGTGTAGGTAAGATCAAGTCGCCGCCGTGTTTCTGTCTGGTAGGGCTTTGAAGCTGAGGCATGGGCGCTGCCATGAATGTGTGGCTGGAGGTTTGTAAGGTGGTGGTCTTCGCATCTGGTGGGCAGATCCCCGACTCTGCAGCTCAGACCTACTATGGCCGTTTACTTGCAGCCAACGCCGTCTGCGAGCTCATGACCAGCCAGCTTGTTGGGGTGTTGAGCGACAAGTTCGGCCGAAAGCCCATACAAGTGCTGGCGCAGCTTGGACAGGTAGCTTGGTGACTCATTTTGTTACTGCTATAGCTACCATAGCCATCGTGATGCCGTGATGCGGACAGTTTTAGTGGCGCTGGGTGGACCCAGAAAGCATTTGCAAGAAGGATCACGGTCCCAGTCTGCTTGAGGAGCTTCGCCTGTAAAGACACTTTCAAGATAAATTCCTGGATGTTGTCTTTGCTTGGGTCAAGATGGGGCTTCCTTCTGCCTAGATGACTAAAAATACACGATACATGCCCCACTGGGTCTGCCACCGTTTCCAAGCAAGCACGCAGCATGCACTAATTTCATTTGATTCAGTGTGCAAACAAGTCTGCCTTGACCTTGGCCGGGCTTGAGGTGATTGATTACAGCATTGCTGGCCTTTGCTTGCCCAGCTTGGGCGTCGTGAGGCAAATTCCCGCCGATGTGGCCGAGAACTTGCTGTTTTGCTCCCGAGGGATTGCTGGCTTCCTTGGGAACTACAAAGTCACTTTGCAGAGTTACACAGCTGATATCTCGAGCGCCGACGAGTGCCCTGACAACTTCGCGGCCCTTGGAGGCGCCATGGTGGCCGGAATGTGTGCAGGCCTGTGGCGCCCGGCCAAACAACATCTACAACATGCAAGATACAGATGCATATATGTATATATATGTATGTATATATATATATGTATGTATATATATATATATACATGGTCAACTCCCCCCCCTTCCATGATCCACACCTATGGTTTGCTGTCTTCGTCTTTGTCTGAGTTTATGTTTTTCCTCGGAAAAAAGAAGTGAAAACTACATTATAATACACAGGGCTATGTTATATTATCCCCTATAAGAACAGTAGTGTTTTTCATGTGTATATTGCTTCTTAAACGTGTGGGTTGCGGCTGGGCTTTTGCCTCAAACGCTGACGGGCGAAATGACGAGTGACGTGTATAGCGAACCATCTGCCACTGAAACTTCCATTGAAGACTTGGCGGCAGCAGCAAAAACGGGCCTGGTGTGCAGATTGCCCATGAGTGTCCTAAGATGTGTGTCCTAAGCCTCAAAACGAAAGGTTTACAGTAAACCATGGCGTGACTTCAACCTCAAAAAACGAGAGGCTTTCCGTGAGCCCCTGGGCGGCTTCAACCTCAAGAACGGAAGGTGTTATGCCTTCCCGAAACCATCAGTTCTTTTTTTGGTCCTTAAAACGCTTAAAAGCACTCTAAAAGGGCAGCTGCCCCGCGCCTTCCCCACACCATTCAAGTTTGAAAAGCCCCATTAAGATCCAAACATTTTTAAAAGGGCAGCTGGCCGGGGCCTTCCCCAAACCATCCTTAACCACCCTAAAACACCGTAAAATGTTCAATGGCTACCCTTTTAAATCTTTAAGGATGTAAAGCTTTGTAAAACCCTTAAATCCTGAACTTTGCATATGGCTGCCCTTTGAAAGTTTTAAGGATTTCACAGGGCAGCCATTTTTTAAGGATTTTAAAATTTTAAATGGTCTGGGCAGGCCCGGACCATTCAAATTTTTTAAAGACCCTGAGAATCCTCAAATCTAAACGGCTCTACAATCCTTAAAATTGTAAAGGGCTGCCCTTTTAACTGTTTAAGGATTAGTATTAGATGGTGTGGGGAACCGCCGCGGCCCCAGACCATTTACATTTTTTAAAACCCTTCAAAAACCTTAGAATTTTGAATGGCTGCCCGTTTTAAATGTTTCAGGGTTTTTAGGATTTCAAAAAGCTTTTCAAATCTTTACAATCCTTACAATTTAAAAAGGGCCGAGACGAAGATAGGTATGTATGGTACTACATCTTTATGTTGTAGATATTTACTTTTTGGGGGTGCAGGGGGTGGCTACTTGCTTAAGACTCTAAGGACACTGTTGCATTTGAGTCAAAGTGCTCGCAGTCATGGCTCCCTCAGGCAGCATGCTCGTAGCAATCGTGAAAACGATGGAGTTGTCTTATCGGGCCTGCTTCTTCGCATCTACAGCCATGAATTTGTCCATAGTCCTGATAGCCTCTCTGGCGGCACAAGTTTTCAGCCTTATGCCTTCTGATGCCGCTTGCAGTGTGTGTCTGTGCCTGTGCTCGAACAGCGAGGTCCTGATAGGCTGGAAGGACATAGCTCCGCGGAAAAGTTTCAGCTTCAGCGAAGCAAATCCAGTGGCGGGCTTGCAGGTCCTCACTATTTCCCGCGCCATGGTACGGCCCTCACTGTTTCCTAAATCGAGTCACAGCACAACTTCTTGTCAAGCTTGAAGTCTTGCAGTCTCAATCGCAGTCGTGAGCATGATTGTTTTTGTTTTGTTTTGCTCCGCTGCGGTTGCCGTTGCTGCTGTTGCTACGGCTGCTGCTGATGTTGTTGCGATTAAGATGATGGTGATGTTGAATGTTGGGTGTTTTTTGGTTGCTTGTGTGCCTAGGGGCGTTGTTTTGTTACCTCTTGTTGTCTGTCTGTTGTTGGTTGCTTGTGCCGGCCCCGCGGAACCGGCTCACTGCTTCAGCCCAACCCGAAGCCCACAGAAGCTCCCCCACTGCGCCGAAGATTGGTTGCACCGTGCCGGAGGTCGAAGAAAGGCCAGCTCTTCCGAGGCAACGACATCTGCCATCCCCAACCCGTTGGTTGTTGGTGGTTGTTATTATACCTTGCTGATGCTGCTACTATCGCAGCTGTTGCGTGCGTTCTGCTTGCAGCTGCTTGCTTGGGTCGATGCGGCCATTGCTTTTTTGCTGATGTTGCATTCGGTTGTCATCGTGTTCATCGTAACGGTTCAATTGTCGCTGTTGTGGCGCTTGATATTCGGCGCTCATATAAGGTTATCTACTCCGTGCTGGTGTTCCTCAGCTCTTTCGCATTGAACATGTTCGTTAGCACCTTGGATTTCTATTGTGGAAAGTTTCTGAAGATGGACAAGCGCTTCTTCATCGGGCTAGGCCTTTTTTGGGCCTTGCAGTCTCTCTTTATCCTGGCTGTGGTCCAGCCAATTCTCACACGCAGAATTGGTGAAGTCTTGACCTTGACATTGAGCTTTGCATCGCTGAGCGTCTTTTATACGTTATTCTGCCTGCTGACGCCGAGCACTTGGGCCTTATCCTATGTTGTCATCATCTTTTTCAGCTTCGGCTCGATGTGTTACCCACTTGCTGTGGGGCTGGCAGCTCGGGAGGTGCCTCCAGAACAGCAGGGGACACTTCAGGGAGCAATTTCTATTCTTGAAACCACTGCGAAGATTTTCGCTCCCTTGCTGGCGTCAGATGCCGCTCTGCTGCAGGGCCTTGGTGCTGCTTCTTGCGGCTTGTGCCCCAAATTGTTTGGCACACTTTGGCATGCTTCAATAGGGTGTGACATGCCAATGAGGTCTTGATTCCAAGATTTGAGAAGGAAGGCGACTTCCATGGCATGGTGTATTTCGTGGCAGCGCTTCTGATGGTCCCCGGCGTGCACTTGAGCCACCAGCTGAAGAAATACACGTGTCACCTCGACACCAGCCAGGCCAACTCTAGTGCGCAAATCGCCGTAGAGATGCAGTGAGCAGAGGTGGGGGTTGTCGTAAACTAGGGTCCCCTCATAGGAACCCGTTAACATAGAGCCACTCACAAAGGGCGGCAGAAGGATCTTAATTTAGAACCAGCCCCAGGTCATTTCGCTTCCAACTGGAGCTGTTCCGGCTACGGCCTTGACTGCCTTTTGGCAGAGCCTCTTCGTGCTGCAGTGCCTGGAAAATTTGGGACTGCATTATCGGTTTGTGTCGTGTTCCGATCGAGGAGATTAGATTCGGCGACCAGACGGTCGTCAGCTCTTTTTTTTGAATCCCACAACACTGCATAGGCTAGCATAGAATATGCAGCAGCTTCTTGTTGAAAGAGAATTATCAATGTAAACATGCGTACATACTCGCTATTACGTTTCATTTTGCCCATGAAAGACCAACTTAGGAGAGAATTCGGAAGGGCTTGTAAAGGAAGCCGATGAAACATTGAACTTCAAAGATCTTTCAAGATATTCCAACTCGGTATCGAGAAGAAAGTAGTTTTCTTCTACTGAATCGTTCTTCTCTGATGCTTCGCAGGGTTGAGGGTCTCTTGTGGTTTTCGGGGAGGAGTAGGCAGAGGAGGACAAGAATAAGAAGAGCGACAGCAACAAGAGCAGCACCAACAAAAGCAGCAACAGCAAGAGCAGCAACGTCACCAGCAACAGCACTACCACCAACGACAGCAACAACAACAAGAAGAACAATAACACCAAAAGCGAGAAAGAGGGCAGACGGGGCAAGGGGGCGTCCCAGAAGGTGACGGAGGAAAGGCGGGGGGAGGACACACACCAAAAAGAAAGGTCAAGACTTGTGCCGGGCGCCTTTTTCGGTCTTTTACTCAGGCGTATCCGGCTCGGCCCTTGATTCCAAAAGCTCTACAATATCATGTCATCTGCATGTTGCACGGGCCACCGCGAACATCAGCAGCCAGCTTGCTCGCCTTCTGATTCCCCCCACCATCTGGGAAATTGAGCTGGGTGGGCAGTGGGTGAAGTCGACCCTGTGGTGCCATCCAGCGGACCACCCCATGTCGGCCAGCATTTTGCTGAAATCTGTGAGTGCTGTGCGGCTACATGTTGGCGCATAGATGCTCGCCAATTCCGCTAATTACGATGAAAGCGAGATGGTGCAAACATCGCGGGGTGATCGAAGAGCTGTACTGGAGACAATCTTTTTTTGGAGAAATTGAATTCGTCTTTTTTCGGGCCCCTTCTCGGAGATTGTACTTCCAAGATTTCATTTTGTCGCCCGAAATATTTTCTAATGGAAGCTCAATTAATTCTAAATAAATTTCTTCATCTACGGATACATGAGAGGTTGATCTAATAAAGATTGAAAAATACAGAAATTTTTTCTTATGGGAAATAGAGATATAAGATTCTCCTTATAATATGCTAGAAATTCTGTCATTTCTGATTATTGATTCTGATTATTGATATTCCTATTCTTAGATTCATTTCTGAGGATTTCTCGAAGGAGAAGGATTCGTGGATTTTGATTCTGATGATTGAAGGAAACATATTTTTCTTTTATATTGTTGAAGGAAATATATTGGTTTATATATTTCGCAATCTATCTATTCTAATTGCAAATGAGATATAATATATTTTGAAAATTTGTGGTGATTGGAAAATTTCTGGGAGGATATCGATTTTCTCTGCTTATGAAATGAGGAATTTATTAATATTCTTCATAAATTTATAAATGATATTTCTCTAAGCGGATATTGAATTAATTTTTAAGGCTTGGATCTTTGATATTCTAAATTCTTAAAAATTCTAAATGTCGGGATCAATGGGAGGTCGCTTAGTTATTAGATTCGATGTGCGTTTAGGGCTATCATTATCTGATGATTTAGATATTATCATATCTTCTCAAGTGAAATAAAGAGATTTAGAGCTGAATGAATGATATAATTTGAAGATAGGAAGTAAGAATTAAAATTAAAGATTTACGACCCTCTAATCTTCCGTCCCCCAACCCTTCTCTTCCCTTCAATGATTCTTCCTTTCAACAAGCCTTCTCTTCCCTTCAACATTCCTCATTCCTTCAATAACCCCTCCCCATTCCTTGAATCCCAAACAATCCCTGCACAACCCCTCTTCAATTTTAAACCCCAACCCCTCAACCACAACCCCAAATCTAGACTATTCTCCCAATCCCAATTCGGCCACAACCCTCAATCCCGAATCCCTCGACACCCCAAAACCACCCATCCCCCACCCCACCCGACAAAATCCAAACCACCACAACAAAAGCAAAAGACACAACCTCCCAAAATCCCAATCTTTTAACCCATCCACTCAGACGCAACCCCGTAGCCCTAGCCCCTCAACACCCCAAAACCACCCCCCCCCTATCTCATCCGACAAAACCCAAACCATAAATACAACCACCCAAAACACGACAAAACTCCGGACACAAGCACTATACAATTTCTATTGAATCTTAAAACCCTAAACCATAAATCATAAAACCCTTAAACCCTGAACCCGGGGGATCCCGAAAATTCCCGGAATTTTCGGGTCCGGGGGTTCCCAAAATTCCTAGGATTTTTGGAGAATAATCTTTAAATTCCAAGAATTTTCGGATGCCCCTGCAAAGGCCTCATAAACAGCCAAATTGGCCGGAAGAGGAGGCGGGGTATCCGACAAGGCGGCCGCAGAACGAAAATAGGGGTCGAGCCCGTAGCCTTTATGGGGATATTTCAGATTCAATATAAATTAAAATCATTGATGAAATATAAAATGAAAGGATTATGTTTGGGAAAATATCTTCGTCAATATTCCTATTTTCGTCATTATATCCCTATAAAAGGCTACGGGCTCGACCCCTATTTTCGCTCTGCGGCCGCCCTGTCGGATGCCCCGCCTCCTCTTCCGGTCGATTTGGCTGCTTGTGAGGGCCTTGCAGGGGGATCCTGAAAATTCCGGGAATTTTAACGCTTATTGTCTAAAAATCCTGGGAATTTTGGGAATCACCCGGAGCTGAAAATTCCCGGAATTTTAGGAATCACCCGGATTGAGGCTTAGGCTTTCCTTGGGCTGTCACGGCGTCGTCCGCTTGGGCGGTTTTGGGCTGTCACGGTGTTGTCCGCTTGGTCGGTTTTGGGCTGTCACGGCGTTGTCCGCTAGGTCCGCTTGGGCGGTTTTGGGCTGTCACGGTGCTGTCCGCTTGGTCGGTTTTGGGTTGTCACGGTGTTGTCCGCTTGGGCGATTTTGGGCTGTCACGGTGCTGTCCGCTTGGTCGGTTTTGGGCTGTTGTCCGCTTGGTCCGCTTGGGCGGTTTTGGGCTGTCACGGTGCTGTCCGCTTGGTCGGTTTTCGGCTGTCACGGTGTTGTCCGCTTGGGCGGTTTTGGGCTGTCACGGTGTTGTCCGCTTGGTCGGTTTTGGGCTGTCACGGTGTTGTCCGCTTGGGCGGCTTTGGGCTGTCGCGGTGTTGTCCGCTTGGGCGGTTTTTGGTTGTCACGGTGCTGTCCGCTTGGTCGGTTTTGGGCCGTCATGGTGTTGTCCGTTTGTTTTGGGTTGTCACGGTGTTGTCTGTTTGGTCGGATGTTCGTTGTCACGGTGTTGTCCGCTTGGGCGGTTTTGGGCTGTCACGGTGTTGTCTGCTTGGTCGGTTTTGGGTTGTTATGGTGTTGTCCGCTTGGTCTGCTTTGGTGGTTTTGTGTTGTCATGGTGTTGTCTGTTTGGTCGGTTTTGGGTTGTTGTGGTATTGTCCGTTTGGTCCGCTTGGGTGGTTTTGGGTTGTCACGGTGTTGTCCGGGTTGTCACGGTGTTGTCCGCTTTGTCGGTTTTGGGCTATCACAATTTGTTCGCTTGATCCGCTTGGGTGGTTTTGGGCTGTCACGGTGTTGTCTGCTTGGTCGGGTCGGTTTTGGGCTGTCACGGTGTTGTCCGCTTGGTCCGCTTGGGCGGTTTTGGGCTGTCGCGGTCTTGTCCGCTTGGGCGGTTTTGGGTTGTCCTAATGTTGTCCGCTTCGTCGATTTTGGGCTGTCATGGT